GGGATTTCATCTCACAGGAGTCTGACCTCGTGTGATAAATTGCTTCTTGACTCTTTCTACCTACCCATCCAAGTGACCTGGTGCCATCCGCAAGGTGACTCTCAGAATCTGCAAAGCGTCACCTGGGAGTTCTGACTCAGAACCCGGGGTCAGTTCATTGCCAGGGTTACCCTGGCCCGGGCTCTTCCAAGCCCAAGCCCTGAGGACTTTCTGCCACTGAGCTCCACCCACACCCTTTTTACTTTATTACTACTACTACTACTACTTTGTTTCTGTTTTCCTCTATGTAACAGCCCTGGTTGTTCTGGAACTCACTCTGTAGACCACATTGGCCTCAAACTCAGAGAGATTCCCCTGTCTCTGCCTCCCGAGTACTGGGACTAAAGGGCATGCAACACCATTGCCCAGCTTTTTGTTTATTACTGAACATTAATTTTCTTGAGTCAAGGTCTCATGTAGTCCAGGATGACCATGAACTCTGGAATCTCCAAACCTGGTTTCTGTACTTCTGGGGATGGAGTGCAGGCAAAAAAAGACTCTCTTGTTATTTATTTATTTATTTATTTATTTATTTATTTATTTATTTATTTATTATTTTTTTGAGACAAGGCATCTCCACATAGCTGTTTAGTTCTGCCCCAGCTTCCAATGTGTGGGATCAGGTGTGCACTACCACACTTGGCTGGCTGTGGGGACCCTTTCTTCTTTTGTGTGTGGCTTTCTGTGTGAATCCCTGGCTACAGAGACCAGAAGCTGATGTCAGGTGTTTTCCTCAGTCACTCCCCAGCTTTTGTTTTTGTTTAAGGACAGGGTCTCTCACTGAACCTGGAGCTCACACAGGTTAGCCCCGGTAGCTAGCGAGCCCGGCATCCTCCTGTCTCTGCCTCCAGCACTGGGGGTACAGGTGCGCCATCCTGCCTAGATTTATTTAACAGAGCTTGCAGGGATTTGAACTCAGTCCCTCATGCTTCTACGACAAGTGCTTTGCTGACTGGACCATCTCGCAGCCCTCCAGATGCCCCATCCCAAAGGGGCATGGGAGGGTACTCAAGCCGGTGTGTTTCCTCCACGAAGCGGTCACCCTCCTCTAGTGTTGTGAACAACATCAATCCCAAGGAGGGGCGTGGGCAGAACACCTGGCCTCTAAGCCTTAAAAGACTCAAGGCTGGCGCTGTAGAGCCGGCTCAGGGTTAAGAGCAGCCGATGCTCTTGCAGAGGACCCAAGTTCAGGTTCCAGTATCAACATGGCAGCTTGGGAAGGTTAGCAACTTCCCAACTTCCAGGGAATTCAACGCCCTCTTTTGGCCTCAGAGGGCACTGCACACACATGGCACACACATGCAGGCCAAACACCCACACACACAAAATAAAATGGGGGAAAAAGGCAGGAAGGCCCGAGAACTTCCAAGGCTCACAGGAGCAAAGGAAACTGTGGGTTAAAGGTTGACAGGGATCCGTGATGGAAAGGAGCCGAGGGCAAGCAGAGGCAGCTTCAAGAGGTGACAGCTGGCTGGGGAACTGCTCAACAGATGAGCAGGACACTAAGAACAGCCGTGATGAGAGGGCCTTCTGGAATTCTCTCTCTGTGATTCTAAATCTAAAATGGTCCTTAAAAAAAGAAAAGTGAAGGCCGGTTGGCAGTGGCACATGCCTTTAATCCCAGCACCCGGGAGGCAGAGCCAGGCGGACCTCTGTGAGTTCGAGGCCAGCCTGGGCTACCAAGTGAGTTCCAGGAAAGGTGCAAAGCTACACAGAGAAACCCTGTCTCGAAAAACCAAAAAAAAGAAAAAAAAAAAGAAACCACACACACACACACACACACACACACACACACACACACACACACAAAACACAAGGACGACGACGAAAAAACAAAACAAAAACAGAAAAGTGAAAGGCTGGAGAGACGGCGCGGTAGGCATACTTGTCTTGTCGCCACGTCTGATTACCTGAGCTGTGTCAACCAGTGGATGCCAAAACAGTCTCACCTCAAAGGAGACAAGAGGAACTCGGGAGCCAAAAATGAATGACATCATGTCACCTGGAGTTCCACATTTCCAGATGCAAGCAGTTTTGTGAAGCTTTTAGAGTAACCAAATAAAGTCACAAACCAAGAGCTTTTCAAAGACCATGATGGAGGCATCCCACAGCTGCCTGAGGACTCCTGGCCCTCGCTCTGTAGACCAGGCTGGTCTCCCTGGCACTCACTCTGTAGACCAGGTTGGTCTCGAATTCGGAGATCCGCCTGCCTCTGCCTCCTGGGTGCTGGGATCAAAAGTGTGCGCCAGCACTGACTGGCTAATAATTCACTTTTTTAAAAAACCAGCAAAGAAAAAAAGTTAAGAATAAACAGTCTATCCAGTGCCCTCCACGGAGCTTTCCCCAGCTGCTATGTGTATACAGCATGTGAAGGGGTGTTGTGTAGACCTGGATCCAAGCCCCAGAACCTCATTATGATGTGAAACATTTCAAAACGTAACTCAACGAGGCACAGTAGCTGCCTCCCTGTAATCCCAGGGAGGCAGAGGCAGGCAGGTCTCTGAGTTCTAGGCCAGCCTGGGCTACAGAGTGAGACCCTATCTCAAAAAACAAAACAAAACAAAACAAAATAATAATAATAATAAAATCAGAACAGGAAGGGGAGGCAGTGAGATTTTTTTCAGATTTATTTTGATGTGTGTGTGTGTGTGTGTGTGTGTGTGTGTGTGTGTGTGTGTGTGTGATGAGTGTGCAGTGCCTAAGGAAGACAGAGGAAGGCATCGAGTCCCTAGGAGCTACAGTGCCAGGTGGTTGTGAGCCACCCAACATGGATTCTGAGACCTGAACTGGGGTCCTCTGCAAGAGCAGTGTGTACCCTTGATCCCTGAGCCCTCTCCCAGCCCCATATTTTACCTGATGCTTTAAAATTACATTTCTTTCATTTTGTGTGGGTGAGGCTCTCCCAGACTTGTAAGTCCAGGGATCCAACTGAGATAGGGAAGTCCTGGAAAGAAGCTGTGTCCACAGAGGCTGACCAGCTGACAGAGCTGCAGGGGTATGGAGAGGGTGGAATGCTGCAGGTCCAGAGCCTAACTACAATTTATATTGGGCTAACTTTAGCCCTTAATAACCATGGCTGACCCACCTCTGTGTGGGACCCCAAATCCCATGAACAGCAGATTAAACTCCTTGGAGGTAGGTGGTGGTGGCACTCACCTTTAATATCAGCACTGGGGTGGCAGAGGCAGGTGGAGCTCTGTGAGTTCGAGGCCAGCCTGGTCTACAGAGTGAGTTCCAGGACATCCAGGGCTACACAGAGAAACCCTGTCTCAAAAACAAAAAACAAAATCAAAAACAAAAAAACACCTAACATTGTTTGTCTGCATATATATAAATGTAAGTGTTTATCTGCATATATGTGTTTGTCTGCATATATGTATGTGCAACACATAAGTCCTTGGTGTCCCTGAAGCCAGAGGAGGGTGGTGAATCCCTTGGAGCAGAGTTACAGAAGGTTGTGAGCCATCATGTGGATGCTGGGAATCAAACCCAGATCCTTTGGAAGAACAGCCAGTGCTCTTAACCTAAGCTGTCTCTCTAGCCCCTTATTTATTTCGAAACAGTATGGCTATGTAGCCCTGATGGCCTTGAAGCCCTTACGTAGACCAGGTTGGCCCACACTCAGATCTATCTCTGCTTCCTAAGCAGGAGGATCAAAGGCATGTACCACCACATCCGGCATGATTATTAAAAATTTATTATATGTGTGTGTGGGCAAGTGTCCAAGGGGACCAGAGAGGGCACTGGGTCCCCTGGAGCTGGGGACACTTGTAGCTGAACTGTCTGATGTGGGTGCTGGGAATGAAACTTGGGTCCTCGGCTAGAGCAGCAGGCATCTCCTCAGCTCCCCACTCCACCCCCAAGTTAGATTTTAAGCACATGAAATAAAATGTGAGCTCGAGGAAAACACAAGGCTATCTCCTGCCATGGCCAGAGGCCCTTCACAGGGCCAGCCAACAGTTCCACATGCCCCAGCACTAGACGGCCACAGTGTCCATGTCTTGTATTCACTCAGAAAGCTGAATATCTAGCAGCATTTCTGATTTGGGGTGTCTGACCTGCATCACTTTCTTTGAGACATGGTCTTTCTATGTAGCCCTTGCTGTCCTGGAACTCATCATGTAGACCAGGCTGGCCAACTGCCTTTGCCTGCCCCTGCCTCAGGGTGTGCCAGCAACCTGCATTTCAAAAGCATTTTTCCCCTGCAGAGGAGGAAAGAAGGATGTATTCCGGAAAGTGAAAAAAAAAATTGCCAGACTGGCTTCTCTATGGTCATAAATTGCCTTCAAAGCTTAATAGCTGAGCAGGTGTAGAGGACAGCTCAGGGGTTAAGAGTGCTTGATGCTCTTGCAGAGGACCGGGGTTCAATTCCCAATATCCACATGGTAGCTCATAACCATCTGTAACTCCAGTTCCAAGGGCCCTGGCACTTTCTTCTGACCTCATGGGTACCAGGGATGCACAGACATACATGCAGACAAAACAGTCACACACATTTAACCAAAACAAAAGCAACCCCCCCCCCCCCACTGTCAACAACAAAACGGCTCACTGGGTTAAGGCACTTGCTACCAAGCCTGATGACCTGAATTCAATCTGAAGGTCCCACGTGCTTGGAGGAAAGAACTGACCTCTGCCCTTTCACTATGCTTCACGGATGTGTGTATGCACACACACACAATAAATAGAATGCAAATATACATAAATAAGAAGTGTGTAGTGCACAGCTCTTGCAGAGGACTCAGATGGAGTCCCAGCACTCACACCAGGCAGCTCCCAACTGCTCCAGGGAATTTGACATCCCCTTTGGCCCACGACCAGCACCTACAGGCATACACATGCACACACATGCAAACAAACAATGCAACACTTCTCTTTACCCCTGCTGCAGGAGCACCTGGTCCTCAGCATGCCAGGGAGCCACTGACCCAAGCTCCTAAACTGAAAACAAGATAGCTTCCTGTTTTGTATTAAAATATTTTATATTACTCATTCAAACTTCATTTTTATACAACGAATGCATACATCATGTGGGGGTGTCTCATGGATGCGGGGAGGGGCTGCGGGCGGGGCCTGTCTGCAGCAGGAGACTGGAGGCTGTCTCGGCCATTGTTGAATGATCTGGCAGGCGGAGCCTGACTGACACCATCACACCTCAGACAGACCAGCAGCTTCCAGGCCTTTTGCCTACAGCTGCCTACCTGGTTCACTCACAGGGGTGAGCTGCGTCTACTGCCTCTGAAGAAGGCCCTGAGGCCCAGGCCCGGTGGCCAGCTTGTCCTTAACTGTGGTGGCTGTGGCAGGCACGTCTTGAAGCGGGCACGCTCTGAGCATGGGTGTGTACATACGGACAGCAGTGGCTTCCCCTGCACCGCCTAGGCCGGCATGTCAGCCTTGCTGAGGGCGATGGCCAGCTCCAGGTCCTCCTGTTCCTGTCTCCGCAGCCTCGCCAGCCGCTCCTGCTCCGCTTTCTCGCTTTCCCGTTTGGCCCAAGCCAACTGCTGCTCCTCATTGCCAAACTACAAAGGAAGATTGGGGCAGTGAGAGGGGGGCCCAGGCTGTGGGTGGAGGGGCCGTTGGGCAGGTAAGAACCAGGAGCCCATGCTAGGGTCCCTGACCTCACCCCACGTAAAAAGAAGCAGAGTACATTCGACCTGAGCTGCCAACTCGAGGTCTAGACACCCACCCCTGCAGAGAGGGCAGCCCGGCCTGGTGCTGGAAGGTTCTAGCAGGCAGGTCCACCAACTCTGTAGGCACATCCGTCAGTTTTCTCTCTCCTTTAGAGATAGGGTCTCCTTACGTAGCCCAAGCTGGCCTACAATCATAGCCAATCCTCCTGCCTCGGCCACCCAGCTGGTTGACACACCCTACCAGCTACTCTTATTCTGCTCCATGCCCTCTTGAGAGACCTCAAGGCCCCAGGGAGCCACTGTGCGTGAAGGGACTTCAATAGTCCCCTAATCACTGTCTCTTCCAGGGAATTTGGTTTCTGTGATGTAAGATTCTAGCCCTCAAGAGCAGAGAGACATCAGCAGTGAAACAAGTGACGGCCACACCTCCCTGGGGAGCGGAGGAAGGAGGTGCGGAGGACACAGGCAGCTGTCTCACCAGGGCACTGGGCCCTCAGAAGGGTTTGTCTGCAAGCCGCCACCAGGGACTGGTGGGGACAGTGGCTTGGGGACCTGGGAGGTTCTAGGTGGGAGAAATCAGGGCCACAAGGAAACTAAGAGCCCCAGGACAGGGCTGTGACTTCCTAGTCAGTGACAAGGAACCTACTGGAATATTACTCAGCTCTGCTGGTAGTAGGGGTGTGGCTTCCAGGGAAAGGGTGGAGCCCAGGAACCCTCACAGGGGCTCAGGAAGGGGACAAGTCTGGAGTCTAAGACATCCCTAGGAGGTTGGGTCCCTTATCTATTCCCACAGGCAGGTCATAGATCACTGCCTCCTCCCTGTCTTGGGGAATTTTCCTAAAATTTCATGGGGAACAAAATAAGGAAGAAAAAAATGAAATGCAGGCGTAAATGACCCCAGGAGCTGCAGATGGGCAGTGGGTGAAGGGCTTCATCCTCCCCAGCCCCAGATGAGGAGCAAGCCCCGCTCAGTCATCCCACACATTGGGGTGCTTCATAATCCCACACAGCTCTGCCTTGTGCACTTGGGCCGAGAGAACGTTCCCGCAAGGGTATTTCCTCAGTAGTGCTGACTAGACCTGGGTGGAGATGTCTGGACTAGGCTACCTCTGGTTCTCCTGGGTCACATAGGGGTGAACTGAACCTGAGGGGTTTTAGGTGCCCTGGACCAGCAGCTTGGGTGCCACTTCCCTTCTGTACGGTCTCAGGGACCCAAAGAGCCGAGAGGACTCCACCTTTCTCAGACACCTTCACCATTGAGAGTCTGTGTCTCTCTGAAGAAGTGTGCCTGTATGGAGCGAGCGTGCAGACAGACTCTGCAAAGCCCAGAGCAGTCGGGCTGACGTCCACGTGGTTCCTAAGGAAGCTAGCAGGCTATGTCAGCTACTCTGCGAGACACACACCCCTGGCTGCTTCTGAGGAACACACGAGTGGCTTGAGGCAGAATGGCTCTTTGTGGCTGTTTCGTAGGGTAGGGACTCTGGCAACCCACAATGGCCCTGAATTCCCTGGGTCTCCGATAGGCACTGCCATGCCCTGCTTGCCAGGATGTAAAGAAACTTTTTTATTGTTTTCAAGGAAAGTTCTCTCTATGCAGCCCAGGCTTCCCTCAACTCAGAGATCTACCTGTCTCTCTGTCTCCCAGGTGCTGGCATTAAAGGTGCTGGCTACTATGTCCTTTTTTTGAGACAGGGTCTCTTGTAGCCCGGGCTGGACGTGAACCAGCTGAGGATGACAACCTTTAACTCCTGGGTGCTGGGGACGGAGCCCTGGGCTTCGTGGGTGCTAAGTGAGCACTACCCACTGAGCTATGGCCCCAGCCCGGAGGAAGAAGCTTCGCTAAGGGGAAGAGCTACTGAGGGAAATGGCCCACCACCAGAAAGCTTTGGGGTACCACAGCAGGTGCCAAGGAAAGCATGGCCAGCCCTCGTGGGTGACATCAGTGTCCAAAAGCCCAAACCGATCAGGCTGTTTCCCACAGGTGACGATAGCCTTTTCTGAGCTTCACAGTATTAAAGTCCCAACGAGCCTGGAAAGCAGGTTCACGGAGGGAGGGCTGTCCCCACTGGGGCTCTGCCATCAGGGAGGCCTGTGCTGTGTGCTGTGCTGATGGGAACACAGGCCAGGCCAGGGCAGGACAGAATTTAGTTTCCCATCTGGAGATGAGAGTGTTTAAATCAGAAGTTAAGCTAAGTATGGGTACAGTACCAAACACCCCAGCAACCAGAAGCTGCAAGTTTGAGAACAGCCTCAGTAAGACCCAAATAACAAACAGATACACTTGAAAAATAAAATTGAAGCCAGTAACCACTCTGGGACAACCGAGTCGTTAGCCCGGTCACAGCTCAGAACCTGGTGTTTACGACAAAACGGTGCAGGGGAATGGGCGCTCTGCCGGTGCGGGCACAGGAAGTGCAGGCTTTTCAGAAAGGCCACAGTCATTTCTCTACACTGTGGCTCAGCTCCACAACCACTCTTCCCTGCCCGAACCGAGCACTGCAGTCACGTGGCAACAGCTGTGCCGTTTTGTTTGTTTTTTCAAACGGACTATTTTATTTTTGTAGCACAGGCTGACCTGGAACTCCTGAGCCTTCTGCTTTCACCTGCCCGGTGCTGAGATAGATGGCCGGTGTGGAGCTGGGCACGCACTCCATGCATAGCACCAGCCCTGGTCTTGTTGGTAATAGTTCCCACCAGAAAATCAACCTGGTGCTATTCAAAAAAACTCAAAGTGCTTCTGTCTCTGACTTTTTCTAATAATGCTGCCTTTCTGAAGGCACACACTGTGTGCACTGTCAACAGAAATGAACAAGCTGTAGTTTGGAAAAGTCATAGGTCCCCAGGGACCACAAAAGGGCCAGGGCCAATATATTATTATCACCATTACTATTTTTAGACATCGTCTCTCCATATACCTCAGGCTGACCTCAACCCTGAGATCCTTCTGCCTCAGCTTCCCAGAACTGGGATAAGAGATGAGTACCACTGGGCCCAGCTCTGCCTTAAGCAATTCAAATAAAGCCACAGCACAGCCATGTTCCATGGATGTCACTAACAGCTAGGGAGGACCTGGGTATTCACTATGCCCTGATACAAGTCCTTTGGTTTTTTTAGTTTTTTGTAGTGGGAATGGAACCTAGGGTCCTACGTGGGCCCTGCCAGTCAATCACCACTGAGGGACACCAATGAGTCCCTCCAGGACTGTTTGGAGGCATGAGGACCAGTAAGTAGCTCATGGTCACTCTAGGCTACAAACTAAGGCCCAGGCTGATCTCAAAGAAACAAAAGCAAGTAAAAAAGTAAACAGAGCAGTAATCCCAATGTCTCCCCTGACAGCCCAGTGAGGAACTTCACAAACACAAAGGAAAGCTTTTGGGAAAATGTCCACACCTGGAAGGGTGAAATGGATTATGGAAAGACAGCACACTCGGAGCACAGGCTGCCCTGAGGTGGTGGAGGGTGCTAAGAATGCCCTGCAGAAGCCGGGGCTGGCTCTAAACAGACAGCAGGGCAGAGCTGGTCAGAGCCCAGGCTGATGCCAGGAAGCCTCTGGCCTGGGCAAGCGGCCTCTCTGAACCCTTGGGAAAGAGAAGAGGCTCCAGGGCGGTCGTCTAGGCTGGGTTCTTTTTACTGTAGCTAATAAACCAAACAGAAATTGGGGAAAAACAAAACACGAAACACAGAACACAAAAGTAACCGAATCCCTCATTTTTGGACATCCTGCCTGGACTCTTCTCTTACATACGTGTCGTACTTGGGCAGGACCACTGACCCTGGCACTCAAAGACCTTTCTGGAGGCAGCAGAACCTGATGAAATGTTCAGAATCAGTCCTGGGAAATGACTGCATGCTCAGCCTCCAAAACTCAATGGACCAGCATGGTGGTGCACACCTTTAGTCCCAACACTCAGGAGGCAGAGGCAGGTGGACTGTGAGTTCCAGGCCAGCCTGGGCTCCATAGAGAGACCATGTCTCCAACAGAAACTCAGTGAACACAGCAGCCTTGCCCGAGGGACAAAGGTCACACAGCCACTGAACAGAGGCAGGCACACTCCGTGTCACCCTCCCGGGAGAATCTCATCTTCCTGCAGTTGTTCAACCGTAGTTCTCAGCTTTATCAACAACCTTTTCCTTAGAGAGGCCAGTGCAGAATAAACAACAAAAATAGTAGATGGATGGTGGGAGGTGCCGGCAGCAGGAGGAGCAGGGTCTGAGCTGCAGAGGGACTCCCACCCCCAAGAAGCAGCAAGCCAGGCAGGAAGGCGGCCGAGGGAGGACTCAACTTACAGAGGTGAAGTCGGCAAAGCCGGAGGAAGAGGCCTTAGGAGGTTTAGCTGAAGAGGAGGGGGCAAATGGATCTTTGCCACTAAATGGGTCCCCAAACCCCTTTTTATTTTGGAACGGGTCGCCGCTGTCAGCCCCGAGTGGCTGGAATGGATCGGGGGACTCGGGGAAGGCTGAAGAAACCAGCTGGCTTACAGGTGTACTCTGACCTGGAAAGTTTAGGGAAAAACAACAAAAAACAAAAAACAGAAGACAAAAAAAAAAGGAAACACAAGTTACTCACTACGGCAGGGTGGAGTGCTGGCCCTGGGACTCTGAATTTTTTGGGGGTGTGTGTGTGTGTGTGTCTGGAATCCACAATCCCATGCCCACTCTGTACTTGTTACAGCTTGGAGTTACAGTCTATAATAACCCAGAGCAGAGGAGCAACAAGATTGTGAGCGATGCCAGAAGAGTGATTTAATTGTTTTAAAGTTATTTTTGAGATGGGGTCTCATGTACCCCAGGCTGGGCCTGAACTCATCTTCCTGCCTCACCCTACCAAGTGATGGGATGACAGGTGTGTGGCACCACACCTGGCCCAAGATCACTTTAGGTTACATAAAATTAGACCTGTCTTTAGTAGTTAAGGACACACACTGGTTTTGCAGAGAACTCAAGTTTGGTTCCCAGTACCCAAGTCCACACTTCCCTACAGTTACTATGTGGGGTGAGACTGGCAGGCTGTTTGCATGGGATTTCCTTTAGCCCAGCCCATCATACCTTTCCCAGTCACAGCTGAGCAGAGGGACAGCAGGAAGGGACAGGGAGGACTCCCTGGTGACAAGGTCACAGGCATAGCCTCCAGTTCACCAGAGCACAGGGCATGATTACAGGGGACAACACCAACCACACACAAGAGATGAACCTCTGCCTGGCTCTCCAGGCAAGGTCAGCTCGGTACTCCTGCCTCCTGTGGTTGCAGCTCTGCCAGGGCACACAGGGTCCAGACATCCATAGCTGAAACATCAGCCCAAGGGCTGGGTCAGCACAGCTCCCTGGTGTTAACAAACTACCCACACTGGCTCTCATGGTTTCAAGGCCATCATTCAGAAAGAAACACCTGGTTGTGTGGACAGCACACCTGAGCCCAGGACACCTGCTTCCCACCCATCACAACCAGCGCACAGCCTAATGGCAGTCCAGCTGGCAAGACTTCTGAGCAGGTAAAGTGCTGGCCGACAAGCCTGACGAGCTGAGCCACCCTAGGCACCAGCACAGAGGAGAGAGACAGCTCTGTAAGGTGTTCTGACTTACGTGTGTGCCATAGCACTCGTCCCCCCAGCAAATGAATAAATGCAAGGGGAAAAGGCCTAACATCGTGTTCTGCTCCCCCAGACCACTGAACAACCTCCCACCCAACTCCAGCTGTATAGGGCTCATGGAGGGCAAGTTCTGAGGCCTGGTTGGCCTCAGTCTCCTCATGTGTGGTGCAGGAATGAGAGACTGGGGGGGTGGGTGCTGTCAGGATACTCGGGAGCAGTCTGTTGCTGTGCCTGGCTTGCACCTGATGGAGCCCTGGCTACAGCTCTCTTCTGAAAGCATCAATGGCAGCCTGGGCCCACACAGCTGTAAAGTGCAATAGTCAGATGCAGGTGCATGGCCACGGGAGGAGTCCAGTGAGCATCACTGCACTGTCCCTTCAGCTGCTGCTTCTTAAAAAAAAAAAAAATGGTAGGGTCTTACCATGTAGACCAGGCTAGCCTGGGATTCACCTCCTGACTATTGGGATTAAAGGCATGCACCGCACACCTAGCCTCCCTTTAGGTTTCTGCCAAGGTCATGGTCACAGACCTGGAGACCCTATCAGAAGGGCAGATACATACCTGGTTCCCAACCCCTGTGGCTTTAATGCCTACCTCTCTCCCACTCCCAAATACCCCTGCTGTTCTCTCTGCCCTGCTGCCGACCTCCAGCCTCCCCGCAGGCCAGTCCCCAGCAGGCCCACCCACCAGAGATGAAGGAACAGGCAGCCAAGGCCACCTGTATTCCTGGCCCCCCAGAGCAGGCAGGCAGCAGAGGCTGGGGAGGCTCACAAGGAACCAGCACACTTGTGGTACCAACACAGGGACTAACTGTTGTCTTGGGCCCCTTTCCTCAGTCCCCAGACTGCTGGGAACATAAGCACAGCCTGTGTTCTGGGAGCCTCAGCCAAGGGAACCCGGGCAAAGAGAATGACATGGAGAGGTGCTTGTCCTCCTTTGGGCACCCTCTCTGTTCACTGCCTCTGTAACTTCCACCCTAAACAAACCCCCTCCCGCCAGAGACCTCCCCACCTACCCATGATACACTCCACCTCATCCACATCCAAGGTCATCCTGTGGAGGCTGCTCCAGTACCCACTCATTGCATGGCTCAGATACCTGTCACTGCCTCTGTGGCCCTTGTGACTAAAGCCTGGTGGCTAAGTCACTTACTGTGTGCTTTCTCATTCTCTTCTCAATGGCTGGAACCTCTATCCCTGAGTCTGGACCTTCCCCCCATCCTCAGTGCCCAACCAGGAGCCAGGAGGGAGGGCTGAGCGCCTTTGACTGAATGTGGCTCTCTATAGCACAAAATCTGAGTTCCCAAGGTACCTGAGTACCAGGAAAGCCCCAGGACCACCAACTCTCCTCCCAGCCTTCTGCAGCGACCCCAACCCTGGGCACTCTCAAATCAGATGCTATCTTATGCCATTATGGTTTCTGAAACCCACCCCCACCATGCACAAACACATATTAACTCATGCCTGTGCAGGTCTAGTACTGACAAGGTCCTAGACTAGAGGCTGAACCAGCTGACTCTTGGAGGGTCCTCCTACACATCCCCACCCAGCCTGTGCTGCCTGCTCAGCTTGTCACCATATTCTACCATCAAGTCCATGGCTAGAAGTCCCGACTCCCAGCTATGCAGAGCAGGTCACTAATGGAAACAGGACTGTTTGTTTGTTTTTTGAGAAAGGGTCTCATGTAGCCCAGGCTGGCTTTGACCATGTTATGTGGATGATCATCCCGTACTTGGGAGGCTGAGGCAGGGTTATGAACTTAAAGCTAGACTGTATTACATAGTCAGCCCGGTTTCAAATAAAAACAAGGGTGGGGTGCTTTTTCAGCCGGGAGCGAAGCCTTGGGTTTCATTCCCTACCCACTAAAAACTAGGTGTGGTCGACCACGCCTCTGATTCAAGTACAGGGGCTGAAGCAAGGAAGACCAGGAGTTCAAGTTCATCATTAGCTACCTAGAGTCTGAGGCTAGCCTGCACTACATGAGACACCATCTCAAAAACAATGAACAATAAGAATTTAAGAGCAGGACATTTCTTAAAGGGTGTGGCAAGGCTGGGCAGATCTGAAAACGTCTGAGCAGGGAAAGGAGGCGACTAGCCACTTCTGAACCTCTTCATCTATTTGATGAAGAACTCTTTCTCCTTTGGCTTGCAAGATTTAAAAAAAAATATATACAAAAACCTGTTTTGCTGGGAGGGGCTGTCAGGAACGCAGCCGGCTGCAGCCAAGTGAGGCTAAGGCTTCTGAGAGCAGAGAGGTGATCGAGATGAAAAGAGGCTTTCACACCAAGACTCGCTGCAGCTGAAACCGTTATTTAGAAATTGCGACTGCGCTCATGAAACCCGACAGCAGCAACTGCTGCCTCTTGTTTTCAGGAGAGAAACGGTTTTCTCTTGGGTGCCTGTTTTTTGGGTGCTGGTGTGCAGGCGCTGCAAGTCCCTGCCACTTGCAGGTTGGTGTGGCCCTGGATTGTGCCAGGGCTTGAGCAATGATGGAAGCCCCTGGCCGTGGCTTCCCACTTGGCACCCAGTTATTTTTGGTGGCTGTATTGTTTCAAGGCTGGGTCTAGTTCCTGCTTTTATGTAACCACTTCTGCTAACTCCTTAATTGCTTTCCCTATTTTCTGAGGTGGAGCTGATCCTGAGTGTGACAGTCATTCTGTCTGTCCCAGCAGTAGGAAGCAAGGTCACAGTGGTTTTGGCTCTTGGGACATGAGTATGGAGAGATGGCTTCGGTAAAAACTCAGAAAGAATGAGGCTATGTCTAAAGACAAAACTGGCAAGACGGCTCAGCAGACAAAGCTGCTTGCTCCCAAGCCTGGGTTCAATGCCCAAACTCACATGATGGAAGAACTGACCCTTGAGAGCTGCCCTCGAACCCCGACCTGTGTGCCACTGACGAATGTGCACACATAAGCAAATAAATGTAGTAAAAAAACAAAAAAAGAAAAAGAAAAGAAAGGAAATAAAAACAAAGTTCCTAAGTATCATTAATAACAACAGCAATAAAAGGATTGTTTGGCCAGGCAGGGTGGCATACACCTTGAATCGGAGCACGCAGGCAGGGGGAATCTCTGAGACAGCCTGTGAGATGCCCCCCTCAAAGTAACAAACAACAACAACAAAATTACACGAAAAATTTAGCAGGTTGGTGTGTGGTAATCAATGCCACAGCAGGCATGGTACCCCTGGTCCATGCCCCCTGGCCCACTGTACTAGCTGAGGGGACGAAGAGGCACAGTAGGCCTTAAGTGGAAACCACAGCAGTTTCAACAGCCGCCCAAGCGGTGTACCGAAACCACACACAGCACTGACTTCGGCAAAAACAACACGAACTCCATGGTTTACCACAGCACACTCTGCTAAAAAAAAATTACTCAGTGGCCGGCCCCACCCTGGTAAGAATTTCTTTAATTTTCTATTTTTCAGGTTTTCGAAGCTGTTTGTTGCCCCCGTACACAGAGCCAGCACACCCAGAGACTAGAGGTCAGGGAATCGCCTTCACCTGACCTTAGCTTGCTTTTCAGGGATCCCTTGAGCCATTCCAGAGCCAGGTTCGGGTAATGCACTGGGATCTCAATAATCAGCTCCAAGAAGGGTGACTCTCTCCATTCAAGGGGTGATACAAGAGAACAGTCAGAGGTCTGGGGTGCAGGGTCCCTAGAAATCTGATTAAGGAGAATATCAAATATTTAACTTATTTGGTATGCAGGAAGCCCTGGGCTCTCACCAGCACCACATACATATGGAATGGTGTACACCTCTAACCTCAGCACTCTGAAGGCTGAGGCAGGGGGATCATGAGTTCCAGGCAAGCCAGCCTGGGCTATAGGGTGAGACATCCTGCTGTGAAAGGGGGAAAATTTACAAAACAAAACAGAGAGTGTGCTTGCCCCCATCAAACTCTTCAGTTCTGTTAACACAAATCATCGCTGTACTTAGAAAACGCAGTTCTGCAGATGAAAGATAAATACAGGAAAAACACCCCCAAAAAAGACAACTAGAAAACAAAGACTAAAGGTTTGTGGTCAGGGCAGCTGCCCCACCCCAGCCATTACCCTCTGCAACCCAGGTCGCTCCCACACTGCTGTGCACCCTGACATGGGCACCCACACACCGTCAAGTATCCTTCACCGTGAACAGCACTGGTTGTTCATACTGCCAGGCTTCTGGGAGTCCTTCTGTTGGGAACTTGGTGAGGGACATCACACCGGGCAGGAACACACCAGGCAGAGACTAAGAGGTCACCAGAGATCTCACCCCTTTCTGCCCCAGCTTAACAGCAAAACAAAGACTTAGCGGGACAGAGGAGAGAGAAATCAGACTGCCTGACTCAAACTTTCAACTGTCACAAGAAAGGAGTCCTTTCTGATCACACCTCCGTTCTCCAGCTGACTTGTTCTGGCAGCCTTGGTGCCTGGACCACTGCAGGCTTGCAGGCAGGAGTCCTGCACACCGGCAGATCAGAGCATAGCACAGCAGCACAGCCCAGGAGATAAAAATCTGAGGTCCCGGATCACATCATGGTGCCGACATTTCCCACCAAAAATATTTACCAATTTTTGAGAAGACTTGCTTGGCGCATTGGAGGGGACAGGATGAGGTTTGGGTCTGAGCTAAGGAGAAAAGCTGAACAAATATTTGTTATCCCCACCTGTGCTTGGCTGTTTTTGTCTGCTGTGAAACGGGCAGGGGTCATGGGAATCTCTGGGGCTGGCAGGCCCGGTGGACATGGTATCACTCCACCATGGAAAGGGAAGAAGGTGGCCACTCGCTTTGGGTGCACAAAAGACAAACCGATTTGAAGTGAGGATGACAATTTTCTTTTAGTTTTCACAAAGGTTGCTCTGATCTCTAACAAGGAACTGAAGGGGTGACATTAGCCTACAGAAGAAAACAGGTTGGGGGCAGGGCTGACATGAATTGCTACAAACCACCTGCCCTGTGTTCTGTTATTCATTTTTGGTGTTTCTCGAGACAGGGTTTCACTCTACAGCCTCAGCGGGACCTTGTGCCCCATGTGCTGAGATCACAGGCATAAGCCACCATGCTGGCACCTGTCAGTCTTCACTGCGCAACAATACAAACCGACAGGTCCCACTGCATTCAGAGAAGTCACTTTTGACACGACTTTCTTTTCCAGTGGGTGCTCAGGGAGATGCTATCTGCAGAGAAGCCAGGTGGTGGGGACCCTAAGTGCTGGCTATGCACAGCCATGGGGCTGCCAGGGCCCTTCTTTGTTCTTCCCCACAAGGGCTAACATAGCTAGAATGCTACCTCTGTGAAGGGCAGGGAGACAAGTGCCCACATTTAACAAAGTCACCACAGACTGTGATGTCTGCAGTGGGAACGAATGCCCTGTGGTGGAAAGGGTCACAGGCCCACAGAGGAGCCCAGGGAGGGTTTAAGGGGAGGGTCCTTACTTGGCTCTTTTTTCTCATGTAATTTATGTATGAGTGCTCTACTCACATGTATAACTGCATGACAAAAGAGGGCATTGGATTCCATTACAGATAGTTGTGAGCCATCATGTGGTTGCTGGGAATTGAACTCAGGACCTCTGGAAGAGCAGCCAGTGCTCTTAAAGCACTGAGCCATCTCTCTAGCACCCCCTACTTCACTCTCTTTATGGTCAGATTTCTGACAAGCTGTGAGTGATTACCCTGACCTTGCCAGAGGGCTGGGGAGGCTGTATCTGGAGCCCTAGCCTGAATCCTTTAGGTAAACCAACAGTGGACCATTGGCTCTGTGAGGGCCTGGGAGTCAGTGGCTTCTGCCCACTCACCTCTGCAGACACAGATGGTAAGGAAGGCCCTATTTCTCTGGGCTTACATCCTGCAGGCCCCCCAAGAAACTCCAATGTCTGGACTGTGACCCACCCCTGGAGGGGCATTTACCCACTACTGCATACCAGGTAATGGAGTTACAAGACACCCACTGGATCCACCCTGCTGTGTACAGAAGGGTGGGTGTGTTGAGGTATTTTCAAATTGTTCTAACTCTAAAGAGCAGGAACTGCCAGGTCACTGAAACTAGCTAGAGAAGCAAGGATTCTCAGGTAGCCTGGAAAGCAGCCCTTGTAGCACACAGGTGCCTCCTCAGCCAGCATCCTCAGCAGGCACTGGTTATACATACGGGGCCCAGGGACGACACTCCAGGGCTGCCTTGGTAACAGCAGAGCAGTGAGTGCATTGAGTGAGGGCAAGATGGGGGTGGTGATGCTCCACCAGTTTAGGTGTCTCGGGCTGCTTGGGTGCCTTCTGGCCATCCTGGCTGGCTGGCAAACGCCAGAATCTTCCTGAAATGGAACAAGTCTGTCCCATTCTAAACTCTCTAGTGTACCCACTGCATTATCTCTTTGCCACCATCGTGGGAACGGAATTAAAGTAGTTACGTTCAGGGCAGAGGTGCTAACCACAGGCTCAGATGGCGATGCCATTTGACAATACGCAGCAACAGGAGGCTCGGGCACAACACGGTCAGCACCAGGGTCCAGACACGCAGGTTCCGACCTTGGCCTGGTACCTCACAGGAGGGTTGAGAACACACTGGAGTGGACTGCTTACAGCCCTAGAACATTCCCTGTGCCTGTACCCTGCAGGCCACAGTGACCCTGTGAGGAACTCATGCCACTCTGCATAGATCTCACATGGGTGGGAGAGGAAGTGTATGTCACAGGAGAAATGACTTTTTGCTTCTGCTTTGGAAGGGGCATCGAATTCAACACAAGGCCAGACCATTCTCATGTGGCTTGAGTGAGGGCTGCTTGCTAACGTAAGTGCACTGTCGGAGGCACTGTGGGGAAGGGGCAAAAAGTCGCCATGACCTTATCTCCATCGTGCGCCTGGCCTTAAAGAAGTGGGGGGAGGTCATGAGTAGTAATAAAGATGATCATTAACTTGGGGAGAGGTTAAAGGTGACTGGCTGGTGAGTGAGTGTAGCTGGGGCAGCGGGTAGGCTCTGCTGGGAGCCGCAGGGCAGCGCTGGCAGGAAGTGGCAGGGTGGGGCCCGCCAGGATCCCGCTATCTCAGGCAGCCCAATCACTGACGCCCACACAGCCGTTTCCTGCACTTAAAAAAATCTGTTTCTCTCTTTGCAAATCAACAACTTTTACCTAGAAACTTTAGCGGTGAGTTCTGACTGATCTCCTCTCCGTCCGTTGCAGAAAATACACCACTGTTTACCTGGGGGAGGTGCGCATTCACTCCAACTGGCAGTTTTCAGGGCTGTTTTGCATGTGTCTGAAAGCAGTCGGTTGCCTCAGGCTCAGACAGACACCTGCAGGTTATTCAATACCTTGATAGACCTTTCTAGAAAAGATCTCCAGGCACAAGAATGCAGCGCTTTCAAAACGTCCAACTTCTGTGCACACCCCAGCAGTCTAGGGCATACAGTCTATGGCTTCAAGGAGAGAACTGTATCCTTGGCATTGGGGGTACCACGGTAGATGCAGCCAATCCCTATGTGAACGGAAACTGAGAGGACAAACAGCAGATCCCAGGAGACGCGGAGCCGGGAGAAGGTAGCATGTAACTACATGCCACCCAGGCCCAAACTGGCACATCCTGAGTGATGACCCTCAGGGGACCCAGGGCTGGCTTTTAAGTCTGGCATCTGTGTTCGGGCCCTGTGCCTGGGGATAGCTGGGGGAAGGGGGGCTGGGGATGGACACACAATGCAATGCAGGTACCGTACAACATCACCATGACAAGTGCTTTACTTACAAGCCTGGGCCCAGGCTGTGGGAAACTGAGGCTGGGTGAGCTTTGGGCATGTGTCCAGGGCGGCCCAGGGACATCTGCCCAGGGCCCTCACGTCCCCAAAGCAGCCTGACTGAACAACCCCTCAGATTCCTGTTGGACAGGGACCCAGTAGGGTTTCATAAAGTCCCTGTCCCTGGGCTAGAAAATATGCTAGGAAGGTGGTGGCATATGTCACACACAGGCATGCCATCAGAATGAGGAAAGCCACTGTCGCTCATGATTCCTGCCTTAACCAGACAAAACACTGAATCTGGAGAAGTACCACCATTGCCACACTTTCTCTGCCAGGTCCACCACCCATGGGGGTCCTTGGGAACAGGATGCTCCCACCTTCTCCACCCGCTCCTAGCCATTCAGGGACCAGCCCTCCTACTGCAGAACTCAACATCTGATATCCCAAGGGTCTGAATGATGGCACGTGAGCAGCTGAAGGTGGTTACTGTTGTACACTGGTTATGTGGTTTTCCTCAATGGAAAAAGGGTAGACAGAAAAGCACCATCCAAAAACAGGGCACAGTGGGGCAGGAGGCTGAATCAGGAGGATTGTTGAGTTCCAGGTTATCACAGAGATCCTGTCTCAGACATAAAATGAGGTAAAGGTCCCACTTCAGCTTGGCTATGTCCCTTCTTAAGTGGTCAGAAGGCAGAGTGCCCTGGCTTCTGAGCAAGTCCAGCCATGGGAGCTGGTCAGTTTATACTGTTACCCCGTCCGCTGAGAGAGTAGCTGTGGTATGTGTGGTATGGATGGGAACAGGACGAGGGAGTGTATGGCTGGGCTCCAAATCCATGCGTGAACCAGGGACGTGACGCCAAATGCTTCCCCATCAAACAGGGCTAATTAGCAAGTCAGCTAAGGCAGGGGGTGTCCTGAGCTGTGCACAGGTACCAGGCAGTGCCTGCATGTTAGAGCTAGCATGAGGTCAACACAACCACAGCACGGGACGCTGGGCTCACATGCACCCACACATCTGTACCTACCACCCAGCAGCGTGTACACTGCCGCGTCTTTCTGTCCAGCTGCTGCTTCTGGGGAGAGTGAAATGAAAAAACGCTTAGGCCCCCACAGGTGCTCTCAGGTGCTCATGGATTACAGTGCACGAGAGAGCCCCAATTCTCAGGATGCCGGGACCCTCCTGGCTGGGTTCTCCTGACTGCTGATGTAAGAGCAAACGGCAAGTAACCAAAGAAAGTGGTGGGGAGGTGGGGACCAAGTCCAGGTGCAGATGCCATCTTCCCTGGGACTCTGGTGGCCCCATGCCCTCTGTTGCCCTTCCTCTGCAGTAAGTAGGCATCACGTTGCCTGCCCTGTCTATCTCATGGTCTCACTAGCGTCACAGGAGGTAAGGGTTACACCAGGCCTGCCAAGGTCAGATGGCAGGAGCACACAGGCACACCCACGGCACAATGGCTGACAGAACCCAGTCTGCATCATTGAAAAGGAGCCAGGTTCAGAGCCTCAAACAGGGTGACTGAGGGCCCTGGAGCCCCAATCCTGGATCCATGCTACGAAGACTCAACTCTGACACCAGGTACCAGAGGCCACAGAGCACTCGGCATTTCACAGGTGACCCTGCTCTCTAAATCCAGCATGAGGAGAGGACACAGAAGGCCACGTGGGACAGTGTCAGCACTGCTTGTGTGTCTCCATGAGAGAGTGTGTGCCTGTGGATACACATGATGCAGGAGTGAGTGGGTAGTGTTTACAAGTGTGTAAGTGAATGCCTGTGGCACATCTGACACAGGCAATGTGGCTCACGCTGTGGGGACGCATGCTCACTTGACACTCGAACATTTGGCATCATGAGCACATACACAAAACATGAACACAGGTGCACACATGTTCAAGCCTTTGCTTTCAAAGTGCATGTGAACCTTGAGTGATGAAATATGCATGCGGGCACACACACTCTCTGTGAATCAAGGGCATGTATGTGTAGGTGTGCACGTGTGTACATGCTACATGAGGCTGCTGGGGTGATGGAGTGCGGGGTGCTGCTCAAGATAGAAGGGCTCCCCTGCACTTCCGGGTCAGTGCCTTTCAGACTCCTGCTCCTTCCCACCCCTTCACAGAGAGCTGCTGTCATCATAGAGTTTGCCGACCTGGGCACGGTCCCTGAAGGACACTGGTGACAGGAGGCGGGGGGCAGCCTCTTCAGGGTAACCCTCCCTCTGTCTATCTTCTGCAGGTGGGCTGCGTAGGAAGGGGTGATCACAGGACTGAATGAGCTGGGGCAGGCTAGGTCCCTCCAAGGGCCACAGATGGAATCACAGGTAGGTTCACAGAGGTACATACTGGGCTGGAAGGTGTGTGTCACTTTGTCACCTGCCCTGGGAAGGCTGCTGTGGCCTGGTAGCAGGTGTGGCTGGGAGTGTGTAGGTGTCCTGCTGCCAGCAACACCCTGGACAGTAGAGTGGGATGGATGATGAATGGGAGCCTGCAGGGACAGCTGTGGCCCTGTGGCTGGCCACCTGCTCTTATTGGGGACTGGAAAGGAGACATTGCATATGCGCGTCACTCAGAAATGTGTCCTCTTTTTCAGTACTGGATATCAAAGCCAGGACTTTGGGCATGCAAGGCACGTGCTCCACTGCTGAGCCATTGAGCTCTGTCGCCAGCCTTCCACACTGGAGTCACAGGTACTCAGAATCTGCTGGGGGAGGGCACAGTGGTCCTCTCTGGAGAGCAGGGTTCAGGACAGTGAGGTTATAGGAAGAGAATGGGAAACCCCTCTACAGCCTTCTCCTGACCAGTAAGGGAGATAAGGCCATCTGCTTATCAACACAGCCAAGAGAGCCACCACCTTACCCCAACACTCAGGGACCAGGGTTACCCTGAGCACTTGCTGCAGCCCACCCCAGGCCCTCCCTGAGCCACTGTGGGAACAGCAGGAGGCCAGGAGGCCGTTGGACGCTGAGGTGCAGATGCAGGGACACTGATGCGGGCACCTTCTGTGGGGACTCTTGTGTGGACCTCGGGACAGGGAAATAGCACAGCACACACAAGGGGGTGGGGCAGTGGGGCAGAGGGGAGAGCCTCCTGCCCTGGGGTCTGCTCTACTCTGGCTGCTCAATGCAGGGGGCCCTGTGCCCGCCGCCCTGTCCCCACCGGCGGGTGCCGCGAGAGGAGGAAGCGTACTGACCGCTGGGCGGTTTGGGCCGTGGAGGAGCGGGCTTCTTCGGAGGCAGAGCGGGAGTGTCCTGTTTACTTTTAAAGGGGTCATCTGAGAATCCTGTGCCTCCCAAGGAGGAGGAGAAGGGGCCAGAAGGTGGGGGCTGTAAGAGAGGACACGAAAGAGGCAAAAACAGACATTAAAAGGAAGGCACCGGGCAAATGCTCCCGCACCAAGAGCCCTGGCAAGACTGAGGTCCTCTCAAGCCCCCGCTTTCCTCCACCCTCAAAAGCCAGGCCCTCTGTATGACAGGGAAGCCACCAATACAAGCAGCAGAGGGTAACCCTATCCCCAACGGCCTCTCTTGCTCCATTAAGGAGTCTTTCCCAACTCAACACACACATGGGGCCCTGGGACTTCTGCTCATGTTCAGAGATGCGCATGGCCTCAGCCTCTGCTGGCCTGGTGCTGGGACAGGCTCTCTCTATGCCCCCAGACGCTCAGGCCAGAGTGTCTGCTCCAAACCCTGCCCCCTTCATCTGCTGGCACAGCCACACTACCTCCATTAGCTCTACCCACTCTTGGTAGCCACTTCCACTTAAGCTTGTTTCCCCTATCCAATGTTTACGTCTCAATTAAATTAGCCCCAATTCCCCTGTTTGAAATAAGACAGTTACAAATAGATGGTGAGTAGGTGGATGAATGTGTGGAGTGATGGATGGATAGACATGTGGGTGAGGGTAAATGGGGCATGTGGGTGACCACGGATGGAGCATGTGTGTGATGGGACAAGTAGTTGAGGGTGGATGGATGAATGGATAGATTGATGTGGGTAAATAGGTGAGTAGATGTCCGGGTGTGTAGGTGGATGGATGGTACAATGGTTAGTTTAAGTACTCAACCCGACACAATCCACAATCACTGGGGAAGAAATTCTTAACAAGGAGGGCTCAAAGTCTAGATAAGGTTGGTCTGTAGGCATGGGGGAAGGGACTGTCTTGATTACATGAACTGAGGTGGGAAGACCTGCCCTCTGTGGATGGTAATCCTGGACTTTCTAAGTAGAGATAGAAAGAGCTAAGCACAAACAAGGATGCATTTATCCCCTGCTCTTGACTGGCTGTTTCAAGGCCCATCCTGGAGTCCCCACAATGATGGACTAACCTGACCCTTCCCTTACAGTAGCTTTTGCCAGGATATTTTATTATAGCAACATGAAAAAAACTAGGACAGGTGGATGGAATAATGAGTAGACGGACAGTAGATAGACACATAGGTGGATGACAGCGGGTAGTCTGGTGGATGAAGGAAGTATGAATGGATGGATACAGAGAAAGGGAGGAGGAGAGAGGAAGAGGTAGGTGTGAGGGTAGATAGGCTGCTGGTGGAGAGAGCGGCTGGGTGGGTAAACAAGAGACAGCACCAGGCTGATGTAACAAGCATACTCTAAGCACTCTGCGAGGCACATAGGTGCCAGGTCTTGGGCCTCATCTAAGCCCATCTCTCAAAAAACAATCAAACAAACAAACAAGTAAATAAGGCTAGGTATGATACACCGTGGAGCTCTGTGAGCCCCCCTGGGGACTTGGCCAAGTCCTGGAGACTCCAGGGGAAGTTCAGCAGCTGGACCCCACTCTGGTCCAAGCCCTGCCTGTCAATCATCACTCTATCTTGGCCCTGTTTCATTGGTGGGCCTGGGCCTCCCTGCTGGTACAGGGCTCCCACCACTCATGGCATCCTTCCTAGTTCAGGGTCAGTGCTTGTGGCTGGCAGGTGCCTGTGTGTCAGCATCAGGGAATGTGCCTATTCCCTATGAGGGAGACACCCACTGACAGATAGGTCAGACCACAGTGGTCAGATCATCTGAGATGCTCGCAGGAAAGAGCTGGAGCCTCCCATGTGGGAGAAAAATCGCTGTGTATGGGGAAGGGTGGGTAAGAAACACTGCTTTCTTTTGATGGGTGGTCTTGCGTTTCCTGATCCTCCTGCCTCAATCTCTTGGGTGCTAGAAGGACAGACAGGCACTACCACACCTGGTGGAGGGAGAGCAAATAGGAAAGTGAAATGGGATGGCAAGAGGGACTGCCGTCAAGTCTGATAACCTGAGTTTGATCCCTGGACCTGTAGAGCAGAAAGAAACACCTGCAATTACATGTGCACCTTGGGGCATTTGACACACTTATACAAATAAAATATAGTGAAAAAAGTTAAAGTGAAATGCTTGGGTAATGGGCAATCAAGAGCACTGGCTGCTCTGGTGAGGTCCTGGGTTTGGTTGCTAGCACCACAATGGTGGCTCAAACTGTCTGTAACTGCAGCCCCAGGAATCTACTCCTTCTTTTGACCTGAGTGCACCAGAGCATGCTGCATAGACATATGCAAGCAAAATACCATACACATAAAATAATTCTTTTTTAAGTGAAATATCTGGCTGGACACAGTAGCATATGCCTTTAATCCCAGCACAGACAAATCTGAGTTTGAGTCCAGCCAGCGTATTACATAGTGAGACCCTGTGATAGACAATTTAATGAGGAGGAGGATGAAGAGGATGAGGAAGAGGAGGAAGAAGAGGAAGACGAAGATGAAGAAGAAGATGTCTACAAATGGTGCCCAACGTGGTGGCAAGAGTTTCCACCTAAAAACTGAGAAAAAAGATTCTAAAATGGAGCTAAAAACAGTTCCTAATTGTCTCTCTCAAATGAGCGGCAGCTTGCCGGTTTGAGCTACTTGTGGGTTCCTAGCGCGTATGGCAGGAATGAGGCCTCTGCAAGTGGCACATTAAGCTGCATGGTGGATTTAGCCTTTGCTAATACAAAACAAAAAAAGAGGTTTCTGGGCTACATGCTGCTTTGATAGAAGCATAGACCCACTATTTCTGAGAGTTGATGGCTCCCAGAGCTGGCGGAAAACGTACCACCACCATGTTGGGAAACTAAAGTGGGCAGAGGCAGCAGTCACAGTGCCGTTTCAGTCTTGGAATGCTGCAGTTTAAAGCAGTAGGTTCAAGGTGATATAAAAAATAAGCCACGTAAAGATGGCTACCACACAGAGAATCTGGATTATGTTCTCTTTGATATTCGTAACTGAAGAAAAACATTTGATTGCAAAAGCTGTTGAGTTATGCCAAAATGTATATTTTAAAGGTACCTTGACTTCAAAATTTGGATGTAAGGATATGTTGTTTTGGAAAAGAGGCTCTGCTTTTCTTTCCACAGAAAGCCAGAGGCTATGGATTTGTTCCAGATTCAGATACATCAGGTTTGACCAGCCAAGACCCCCTGAAAGGTCTCCAATGACACCATGGCCCAGATGATCCAACATCCAGAATGGTTTGAAGGCAACTGGCTCAGACAATACTGCCTCATGGACTACTCCATAATCCTGAAATTTTCTTTGTGTCCCCATAAGATACAGCGCCCCCCTCCAGCAGGAAGTAGTAAGAGAAGCTATGCCCAAATTCCCAAATTATATGTAATTTTACTATGTTAAGGTTAAAACCTTCCTTTTTGAAAAAAAAGAAAAAGAGAAGTGCTGTGGATATCGTTCTGTATAAATAAAACACTGATTGGCCAGTGGCCAGGCAGGAAGTATAGGCGGGACAAGGAGAGAGGAGAATTCTGGGAAGCGGAAGGCTAAAGGAGACACTGCCAGCCGCTGCCATGACAAACCACATGTGAAGATGCCGGTAAGTCATGAGCCACGTGGCAAGGTATAGATTAATAGAAATGGATTAATTTAAGCTGTAAGAACAGTTAGCAAGAAGTCTGCCACAGCCATACAGTTTGTAAGCAATATAAGTCTCTGTGTTTACTTGGTTGGGTCTGAGCAGCTGTGGGACTGGCGGGTGACAGAGATTTGTCCTGACTGTGGGCAAGGCAGGAAAACTCTAGCTACAAATTAATGTCAACTTGACATAAGTTAAAGCCATCTAAGAGGAGGGAGTCTCAATTAAGAAAATGCCTCCAGCTGGGTGTAGTAGCACATGTCTTTAATCCCAGCACTTGAAGCTAGCTTGATCTACAGAGTAAGTTCCAGGACAGCCAGAGCTACAAGGAAAGACCTTGCTTGGGAATTTAAAAAAAAAGATAAAATGGGTGGTGCCAACCCCAGGCTGGTGGTCCTGGGTTCTATAAGAAAGCAGGCTGAGCAAGCCATGGGAGCAATCCAGTAAGCAGCACCCCTCCATGGCTTCTGTATCAGCTCCTGCCTCCAGGTCCCTGCCTGTGTGAGTTGCTGTCCTGACTTCCTTCAAAGATGAGCAGTGATGTGGAAGTGTAAGCCAAATAAACCCTTTCCTCCCCAATTTACTTTTTGGTCACGGTGTTTCATTACAGTAAGAGTAACCTTAACTAAGACAGACCTTCTCAAAAAGAGCAAAATGTTTAATGGAGTATACCAGAGCGCATTTTGCCCAACATATAACATAGTAAGTAAAGGACAGGTCAAACAAATCCACTGCTGACAAAGCAGAAGGACCAAGCCAGGTGTGGTGGCATGGCCGCCACCACAGTCCGTCCACAGCACTGGGCAAAAGTGGGACTAAAAATGACAGCAAACTCCTCAACGGAGCCCAGAGAGTGAGAGGAGGGTTGGCGCTTTCTACTTCCTCCCACAGGGCAGACCAAGGACAGAAAGTCAGCCAGAGCACCCTGGACCCAAGGCACACCATCCAATTGCAGGAGAGGTGAGGAGAGTGTGCAGCTTCCCTGGTCCCAGAGAAGAAGCCAGCTCCAGGCACTCACACATCCTTAGCAGCAGGTGTGGCAGGGAGGCAGTGGCTTTGGCACCCAAGCCGACAGCTCCTTCCCCAGGCCCCAGGGCTTTCTGGCTCCAGGCAGGAAATGGATGTTCTACTGCTCTCTTCCTAGGGCTTGTGAGAGAACCCTACTATCATCACCCCTGCTATACACACAGGCAAACCGAGGCACAGGAAGTCAGTGTGGCTTGCCCAGACTACACCATGGGTCAATGTTGACCCAGGGCCAGTACAGCTTGTCCACCACCTAGGCCTGGACTCTGTGGCATCGTCTGAAGGGCAGGCACTGAGAACTACCTGTCCTCAGGCTGAAGGAAACACACAAGGCTTTAGGGGAGAAACAGAGCCAGGAGGGGACAGCAGGAGAAGGCAGCTCCTCCAAAGGAAAACAGGGGTCTGGGGCT